TATATATATATATATGTGAGATACATAATATCCAAAATACTCAAAGAACTCAAAAAGCATAGCTACTCCATGAGCTATCCCCTCTGAAGGGGTCCCATTCTTCAACTAACTCCTCCTCCTCCTAGTTTCATGTCCACACTGGAATCCAAACCAGACTCCAATCTTTTAGGAATGGTTATGTAGAGTGTAAAAAAACTACAATTATGTACTGCATCAAGCTCTAAGTAACTGTTACCTTTCAGGGGACATGATTCTGCAGAGGCAGAACATGATATAGCTTTGCTTGAACTTACCAGAAGACACTTGGGTCTTTTCATACAGCTGCAGAATTTTACACAAATTACAATTATGCAGCCACATTATGTGGTACATTTAATAGTGTTTCAAAATGTGTTCATTTCAGTAGCAAATCAGCCCCAGTCTGGTCATCTGGTCTACAAAAATAAGTATTAGAATATTAAAACCTCTTTGCAAAATATCTATGAAACAAGGAGATTTGATGGGACATGGGCATATTAAAACTTGGTATTTGAGTGTTCAGGAGTTTGACAAAGCACCTCAGAACAGGTTTCCAGCTAGACACTACATCCTTGAGACACCTGTCCTCAAAAGGAAGCTGAAAAAAATGCAAGAAATGCTCAAACAGAAAATACCAAGTTTTTAATTTACAAATACCACAGAATGCAGTTACAACACTCTCCTACACAGCAATCATCCCTTGTAATTTGCCATAGCAATTTTTATTCAAATACAAACAGTAATGGGAAAACCAGGCAGGTTTTCCTCAGGACAGAAGTCTGGACGTTGTGAAGCTTCACAGTTGATCCACAGCCCATGTCACTGTGACGAATGGTTCTGGTCAGAGGTATCCTCGTTGAGCAGTACAGGAGTGTTGGAAGGAAAATTCCCTGCATGGAGATGGTACAAGTACACTATGTCTTATCCAGAGTTGTATGTCCTTGTGAAGACCCCTCACCGTGCCAGTAATCCCCTCAAAGGGATATCCTGGGACTGGTCCCAGCACTGTGGCTTTACTCAGCCTTTTGTCTGACAGAAATTCTCTCGGTCAAGACAGAGACATAGAGTTTCAGCCAAGTGTATGTGATGCCCAGAGCACAGTACACAGAGGTCAGCAACAGAGGGACAAAGGGAAAATGCCATTTCCAGGGGGTCAGAGGAAATATGACTTCACAGAAGATTTCCAAAGGCACTAGTTGGACGAGGTAGATTGTTTCAAGCCAGTTAAGAAGAGGCTTCTCTCTCCTGTCAGAGGAATTAAAATAGAGAAAGTGTTAAAATACATGACATTAATTAAAAATGACTATTCTGTTTTTCAGGTATCCCTGGTGACCAGTGCAAAGAATATTTTCCATTAGTTCACAATAAAGCTTTGGATAACAATTTAAAGAGTTTTGATACGAAAAAGTCCCATGCCAAGAGTGCAGCTAATTTCCTTATCATGTGGCTCTTACACCAAGTTCCAAGATGCCTTGGGATCTAAGGAGAAACCTCATCAGCTGCTCTGCTTCACCTCACATCATTTCAGTGAGCAACGGAGCAAACATACTTGTCATACATACTTCATATGCACACTTGTTCCATGGAAGTTGTTCTACATCCAAAGACTCGAAACATCAATTTATTTTAACCTCTTCCCCTAAGCTTTCTGCAGGACATACTGTGAGCCAATCTCTCTTGCAGGGATTTGTTTTGGCAAGTTAGGAACAAGAAACTTGTAAAAGCTTCATCTCTAGACAAAAACTAAGCTCCTACAGAGCTTTGTAGTTAGAGCTCTTTAGACAGAATGACTGAGTTCTTGAATGGGAAAAAGCAGTTTGGTTCAAAGAAAATCATCTACAAAAAGGTAGGTGCCTGAAGTATGGAATACAGGTTGACTGCATTTCTGACATCTTTCTTACAGCTTGGTTTTGCCCTGAAAATCTGGGAAACAGGGAAGTGGAGACCACAGGGGTTATAAGGATAAGCACTATCCATGGTCAAGTGGGCAAGAAATCAACAGGTCATAAAACTACACAGGATGATCTGGGCAACTACAAGTTCTGACAATCAAGTGTTTGCAGTTTTGTTGACAAATCAGAGCTTGTAAATCTATATTATTTACAACCTGTCCCTTCCACACATTAGAATACTAAGTACTACTGCAAAAACCCACAGTTGTATTACTAACTGCTGGAACAGATGAACAATCTTCAGATAATTCTCTGTCCTAAGTGCTCCAGTACTGAACTGAATCCTCACAGACTACACATCACAGCTCCATGCTTGAACAGGGCATCAAACAGGTGGGGATCTACAGCCTGCTGGGAATAACTGGGCAGCTGTCACAACTCAAAAGGGTGTGCTAAAATAATCCTAACCTAAGCCTTGCCTCCTGAGAACAGAGGCAGCAGCATCTTTTGACTAGTAACACTTCAATCTGATACTTCAGCATCAGTTTTCCATGCTGTTTGCCCTTTGTGACAAGGCTGTTCCCAGTGCCAGAAGAAATGGAGGTGTTCCTGGCTTTGAGAACAAGTTTCCTTAATTACCTGAATAGAGATTTCAGCGAAGAGAAGCTATAAACAGTAAACAGCAGCATAAGTAGTATTTTAAGTGGAAGTTCTGAAATACAAAGAACACAATGTACTTTTAAAATTAACTGTAAAAACCTTTTGCCATATAAATTGCAGAATCTTTAAATCCTACTAGTCACACTTGCATTGTCCAACCTTATTTTCTCCAAACAAACCTACATGTTTTACTGCCTAGGACACCTAAAAAGAAGCACAGATGTTTACTACGGCAAATGCCAAATATCTGCAATACACTTACTTCAATTATCTATAAACATACTGAACACACTAATGATAACTACAATTTGTGACAGCATTGCAAATAAGATTTTCCTAGCCCAAAGACATCACGAATCATTGGGAAGTGATTAAAGCAAAAATGACACTCGAATCCACCCTACTGAGCTGTAGGTTGCACATTGGATAAAAATTAGCTAATAGAGAGGGCACAGAAAGTTTAACATTTCTCAAGGCAGCAGCTTTGCTACTGCAAATAAGCAGCATTGTCAGACCAACACAGCATGAGTGTCTGGATTTGAACTCTCCCAGAAGGATGACAATCAACCAACGTTACAGTATTGTTGCAGCTATGATGTCCTGGGGTTTGAGTGAATGTATTGTACAAAAGAATCCAAACCCACTACCTGCACATCATTTATCGAAAAAACCCACAACAACCCCAAAGCAGTAAGATCAAAGCACAGAAGGAACACTTTACCTGATGGTGTGAACAGCAATGGAAAAAGTGAGAAATGCCCTGTTGTTGTCAGAATCAGGTAGATGCCAGCATCCTTGGCTCTCTGAATAGACAACAAGCTAAAAGTGACAAGAACCTGTTATGCTTTTGTCTTTTAAAAACTTAATTTCAGCAAAGACTACACAAATCACAAGAAACTGAAGAACCGGTCAAATAAAGTTTCATAGTATCCCAGTCCCTCCAAACACTGGACCTGTGATCAAGTCTCCTGCTTCCAAACCACATGGCCTCAGAGATAAAAACGCAGGAGAAAAATCAGCCAGAAACCTCTACTCCAGAAAAACACACACACAGCGAACACAACTATCAACAAGGCCCAACAGAAATCAAGAGCTTAAACATCACAGGATCTCTGAAGGAGGAAAATACAGTTTGTAGCAATACTGGCCAAGCAGCTTATGAACTACTGCCCCACTTTTATCCTAGGCAGGCATAAAGTTTTTTTGGTAGAAACTGTGTATTGTTCTTGTCAAGCACAGTGCAGAAGATCCCTTTCCTCTGTGGCTCCTGAACAAACTGTCTACCATTTTAAAATATAAGCCACTCAAAGGTTTGAACTGTGCCTGATATTAGTTTACTTGAAGTACACTACACTGTTGCAGCTTAAGGCATCCTGTGGACACATTCAGTTTCTGAAATATACCGAAAACAAATCGATCCCCTTTGAGGATTTCCCAACAACTGGCTGCAGGTTCAGTCTTGAACAAATTTGGCTTACCTTAAAGGCAGAATAGCAAGGAGTATTGCTTTCTCGTGCACGTGCCAGCCAAACATGAAGGAGCTCAACGCACAAAGAACAAGGCACTGTAGAAAGCCTCTGGGCCCTTGAGGTTTAAACCAAAGACAGAAAACAGAGGGCTAGAAACAACAGGCAAAAACAGGACTTCAGTGAAAAGTCTGGCAATCCTGAACACAAGTCATTGTCCAAAGAGATTTTTCAATGTTAATAAACACCACTGCACCCAGATCCTGCTTGTGTGGCACAAGCATCACACAGCACTGGAGGAACCCAGTCTATTCGGACGTATGAGTAGAGCCTGAAGGAATTCTGTCAAAAGAACAGGAGGGGAAGGCAGATTGAAAAGACCACAGCCAACTCCCTGCTACTTGTGTTGTACGTAAGAGCTGTCTTTCAATCTAAGCCACTAAGCTCCTTCCATCAAAGGCACTATGAAGTGTTGTAATAAAGACTCCCCATTAAAGGCTAGTCAGAGTGAAAAAGGCTGCATCCAGGTAATTCCTTATTGAACCTTTCATCCTGTGCTTACCACATGAAGAACACTGCCCCTGCCTATAGCTCATGCTGTTAGGAACACCGTAAGCTGCCCAAACAGCTCCATCAATAACTCATATCAACTACCTTCTACCACAAAAACTCAGCATGCAGAGTAGTTTTGATCCAAGGCTGCTTTTAATACTCTTTTAACCACTCTACAGTTGACAGGGGCCATAAATTTAAGCCATACTTGGTTTTATTATTTATTTTTTTAAAAAGAAAATATATTTACTGCCCTAGAGCTAAAATTCATGTGAAATGCATGCTAATCAATTAAAACCTGCTAAGGACAAAACCAATCCAAGTTTCCAAAAAATATTAACTGTTCTTACCAATATAGCTATAGCAGTACAGATCAGTGTTGCCAGTGGAGTCACTGAAGGGAGGACAGTATGCTGAAACTCTTGAACCAGCCCTCCTGTCATGGAGGCTTTAGGGATTTTTGTGCGATCAAGAAAATTGCATTTTAAACCTAAAAACAAAACATTAAAAAAAGCACAAATTGATAAATGCTAATGAAGAAAACAAAGTAGCTCAACTAAGTACACAGCCAAGTCTTATTTTTTTTAAAGGACAGCAGAGGGAAGTCGTTGATCTCTGACCTACTGCACGCACTGGATTATGTGGATAATCAGATGATTTATGGCAATCTGAAGACATAATTTATTACCTGCACTTCAAATGGGGAAGACTAAAATCCAGAGAGCTCTATCTGCAAATAGGCACCAACTAGCAAGGTTAGCATACTGACCCAGAATTGTTAGTGCTTTATCCATGGCATTGTACAAAGCCCAGAAGTTTGGGGCCCAATAGGCATGGCAGAGGCCTCGCTTGAAGGGGAACAGCCGTGAGATGACTTGAGGCAGTTGTCCCTAAAGAAAACAAAAACAAGGAATGAAATGGCCTCTTTAGACAAGTCATGGTCTGTATTCTTATAACAGTTTCTAACAGTTCAAGTGAATAATGTGTGAAAAGGGGCTCTTACCAATACTAGGAAGGGGCCCAATGAAAGAGCAGAAACAAGACAGACGATCAGTCCCAGAAGAGTTACATGAAGAAAGCTGAAACTTCTCCACTTCAGAGATCCATCTACAAGAAATTAACAGATAACTGAACAGTTACTGTGGGAAGTGGATAGGGAGCCAAAGCATTTCACACCAATGGGGAATTGGTAGCACCTATCTAAAAGGGCAACACAGCCTTTTTTGTCAATATATTCAGCTGCTTCCTTCAACAGTTACTTGGCATTTATTTTTTTCCACATTGCAGCTTCTGCATTATAGTCTTTCTGTATTTGCTGAATTTACCTTCTTGATTCACATGAGGTATATCAGGCACGTTTCAGTGCTGAAAAGTGGAGAGAAACTCAAAGAAAGACTTTGAAATAGCTCCTGATGCTAATTGTTTTGTATTCAGATCTTTGTATCTTATGGCTCCAAAGTGCCACCTGCAGTTTGTTCACGTTGGTTTTTCTTAACCAAGAACTACCTAGAAACAGGAACTGTACAGATTCAAATATATTTCAAAGATCTTCAAAGATCCTACCAATGCTGCTCTCAAGCAGAATTTTTGTTTGACACACAACCATTTAATTCCAACTGTATCTGCATGTTGACAGTTTGTTCTCCTAGCTCCACTGATTAACACAATCCCCAAAAGCCAGTGAGGAAAATCCCATCTTACCTGCATTATTTGCAGTAAAGCAGTAGGATCGCAATAAATAAATGCCATATGCTGGGGCCACATACATGTAGATGTGTTTGAAATGCAGAAGAACAGCAAAAAGAAGAGCTCCCTCTAAGTATCTTTTCTAAAAGAAAACCAAAACAAAACCTTAGCTCTTCTCTTTGTACTGACTTTTAATGGTCCTCTGCTGTACTCCTAAGGTGATGAGACATTTATCATAGGCATTAAAAAACCAGTATTTACTTGAATTACAAACTCAGTAGTGTTATGCACAAGAGATATGGAGAAGGAAACTATCCTGTTACATGCTACTTGGAGAACTGGGACAGGCCTCACCTCCCCACAGCTTCAGAAGTATGTTTTCTAAGGACTGGTGACTTGGACAAAGGTGAGATGGCAGGAAATGATGCCACATTGCTCATGTTTAATACAGAATTTAGCCTTCTCACCACAACTGCAATGCCGCAGCACCAGCAAGCGAGTTTCAAGTTCTCTTTCCCCCAAACTCACCAAATAATTAGACATTTGGCATTGCACACCTCAACATCAAGCCACTACCACTGCCTTCAGTATGAGCAGTGCAACGATGTGATTTAATGCACCTAAAATACATATGGCAACAACTAGATGAGAGTCAGTCGAGTTTACCTGACACAGCCGAGCAACAGAAAGAAGCATCAGCCCAAAGAGAAAGCCGTTGTACTGGAAGTGAATATCTAAACTTGAGTCAAGAAAGAAATAAAGCAAACTTTCTTTCCACATATGTATTGTGCAACTTAAATAACACAAACCAAAAAAGGTTAACACCCCAGTATTTTTAATTATTAGTTTCTTCCACACATTGGTTAATGGGTGGTGACAGTAGTTCTCACTTATCTAACACCTGTAAGCAGGCAACTTGGACAAGAGCTATGGCTCTGGAAATTAGTCCTTCCTATGAAAGAATTACCATTGTCTCCCTCATTCTGTTTCCTCTTCTGATACACCAATGCACTGGCAATCAATGGAATTTCCAGATTTACTTTTATGGAAGACATGGACTTATTGGAGGAAGTCTAGAGGAGGCCACAAAGATGCTCAGAGTACTAGAGCACATCTGCTATGGGGACAGGTTGAGAGTTGGGGCGGTTAAGCCTGGAGAAGGGAAGGCTTCAGGGAGATTTACAGCAGCCTTCCAGTATCTAAAGGGGCTAGAAGAGAGCTGCAGAGGGACTTTTGACAAGGGCAGGGAGTGATCCAGCAAGGGGGAATGGCTTTAAACTGAAAGAGGGAAGATTCTGATTGGGTATCAGGAGGAAATCTTTCTCTGTGAGAGTAGTGAGGCACTGGCATGGGATGCCCGGAGGAGCTGGAAGTGTTCAAGGCCAGTTTGGATCGAGCTCTGAGCAACCTGGTCTAGCAGAAGGTGTCCCTGCCCATGGCACGGGGGTTGGAACTAGTTGATCTTTAAGGTTCCTTACAACCCAAACCACTCTATGAGTCTATGATATCTTTAGAAAGCCTCTCTAATTCTCATATAACAATAACCAACTGAATACAGCCTGAACTTAAATCAGGCCAAGAACTGACTAATTTACATTTTCCCAAATAATAACTGTAATGAAGAGAACATGAAGTTATCCAACTAACCCTGAAAACACAAACAGTAGTGTTACTTGCTGTGATAGTATTAACAATATGGTTTTGTACCACAAGCTGCGACAGGTTGCTAAAGAAAACAAACAACCCCACAAACGACCTGTAGTGGTTTGAAAGGATACGATCCACAATTAACAACCCAAAATTCCACAAGAGCAGAACGGCAAGAATAAATGTTGGTTTCTCCAGGATATCCTTTGCAGCTCGTTTTCCATTTACACATCTGCAGCACCTGAACAAGAGCAGAAGAAAAAGAAGTTTTAATTCAATCAGACAACAAAAATATCATTGGTTTTAAGAGTGGAGAAGTGCACTTAAGCTGAAGTTAGCTATTTTATTAGGATGGAAGGCAATGATAAAATTCTTGCTAAATTTATCAAGGAAAGACAGTGTCATGGAGAGAGTTTAGTACAAAAAGGATTTTCAGTTTCAGTAGCTGTAGTTTGTTGCACATGATAAAGTTTATATTAAGTAACTTACCCTCAGGTTCAAGTCTCACATTCAGTACTAAGTGTAAAGCTGTGATAGCCTGCTCACTATCAGGGATGGACAATATATCACTACCCCTGGAGACAACTTACCAGGTTGTATTTAAGGTCCTCAGTTGGACACTAACCTCTTCCTGGGTCCCCCTGCCCCCCAGTATTGCAAGGTATTTCTGTTGGCTAAGAACATCTTATTCCTTCTCAGTGTGAAGCAATATGGTGCATATTATTTTTGAAGGTAAGATTAGGCCAGATTAAAAATTTATGGATGATGTATGTAGAAATACTACTAGTAGAGCCATTTTAAGAAAGACAGCTCATCCATGGAATGGTTTGAGTTGGAAGGGACCTTTCAAGGTCATATAGTCCAACATCCCTACCACGGGCAGAGACATTTTTCACTAGGCCAGGTTGCTCAAAGCCTCATCCAACCTGGCCTTCAATTTTTCTAGGCATGGGGCATCTAGCACCTCTTTTGGCGAAACGACCCAGTGCAGACCCCAGTCCTGAGCCTTCAGCCTCACATTCACATATCTGTGAGTCAAACCAATAAAGGAAAAAAGTCACAATGCAGACATCGCCCATTTCAGAGGGGGAAAGTAAATAAAGGAGCTTAGGTAGCGCTCCAGTTGACAGAGCATTTTCTGCCCAGATTTTGAGCAGACAGAATAAAGTGAAGGAGGACTGTTACAACCAAATCATTAAGGTAGGCAATATATTTCTCAAAACATTCCCCCACTCCACTCCCTAGGTATAAAATAAAAACTTCTTCACAAAGTCAGGGCACACTGAAAGAATACAATCCTAATATTGTTACACTAGACCTGGAATAACCAGTTTATCATCAAGAATACCAAAAACACTGGAGCAACTTTGCATACTGGCATTTTGTGATGCTTCCTTTATGCTTCAGTCTAGAATAACAGACAAATAATAACAGGGGAAAAAAACCTGTTCTGAACACACAAGGTGTCTTGAACTCCTACAAAATGAACCCAGTGGCAGAAACAAAACCAACTATAACATGTGAAATAGCAGCTAATGTTTGAATGTGTACAAATCTATCACATGTGCAATAATTACATCTACAAGAAGAACATGCAACCCTGTGTTTTGCAATACATTCCAAATTTCTGCTTCAACAGCTTAAAGCAGCTTTGGAATTTTTATGCATTTACAATTGCACTTATTTGTACAAATAGTTATTTGCTGCGGCTACAGGAAAAGCCCACATATTAAAGACTACCCACCGCCCCTAAAATGAGAGCATTAAGACTTACTCATAAACTGCATATATGAACAGGATATCTGTAAAGATGACAGAAAGTCTTTGGAAGAAGATGGTTGCATGACTGGTGTAATTTAGATTTTCAATAACCAACATCTGGGGGTCAAAGTACTTGGCCACATGTGACAGTGCATATTCAAACCAAGCAAAAAAAGGTGGATAATCCAGGGTCCATTCTGAAGTTGCCTAAAGACAAAGTAAGATTAAATAGTTTAACACAATCCATGCTGTTTACAGATATAGATGGTCACAGCAAATCATCTGATGCATTTTATCTCAGTAACCTCTGTTTAACAGGAACTACCCCACAGTAAGTAATCAGCTGTATGGTGCTGAACGTGATTTAAGCTGTTCTTCTGCAGTTCTGATAGAGGAACAGGATGTCGCCTGATTAGTAGGAAAAGATGAAACAGCATTTTGTGTTTCTGCATCTAACCAGTATAAAACTGTCTGTTCTTACTCTTAGTAATAGGGCCAACACTAAAAAATCTCAGTAAAATATTTCACAGCAAATATTGGTCTACAGTGTTGGAACCACCAACACAAACCACCTTGATGCAGTCTCAAAACTGGTTTTAATCACTCGTTAACAAATCTTAACTTTCCTACAACCTTATCAAGATCAAATTGTATTATGTGATCTTTACCCATAAGGACAGTTATTGTGCCCTGACCAACCATTAACTCCTTGGTGAAGGAAATAGGAGAGGGGGAAGGAGGACCCGAGCAGGTTGGGATAGGGAGTATTTTTCAGCATCCATGTTCCCAAGTGCTTATGTTGTGCCGATGAATTGCATCTATGCTCTGGAACTAGGATCATGCTGGCATCACAGAAATTTGGGCTACAGTTTTGGATCAGTCTTACAAACTTCTGACCTGTATACGAATCATTTACTCCTGGATACACAGTTCCCAGACGCTTACGTGGAGGAGAGTACTAGAGACTGTGATATTTACCCCTGTGCTCAGGGAGATACTATATAAGACAGATTAAAACCCAATTATGTAGGCTGAGTCTGTCATGAGCTTAGAGGTGATTTACCTAGATAAAAATCAATGCATGGTACTAGCACACAGGCAAAGGCTCAAAACTTCAATCCAGAGATTGATGTCACACTGTATATATATATGTACCCATCTGCGTGATTAACTCTGATAACTGTGTACCATCAATGCCAAGAGTGAAGAGAGCAGCAATTTAAGGCCACCATGCAATTGCTCCTGTGTTGCACAGCCTGTTCAACAACCCACATGCCTTAACTGTTCTTGCCACTTTGCCTTCGTACGTACCACCAGCTTCCCCAAACGATTCTCATTTTTTAGCCCAATGCTACACAGTGCCAGCAAATTGTGACTGGCAAGCTTTTGTCCCACTGCATGACAGCTACCAACCATCTCTTCTAGCAGTCACACCGTCTGACACACCCAATGTGCCTGTAACTTATACACGGCTAAGAAGCCCAAACATATACTTACTTCATAGTACCACTGAGAGAGAGGCAAGCTGTGGGTGATGGCCAGCCAGTTCCTGTGTACTTCAAAATCTGTAGAGTAACTACAGAAGGTGTACATTAACAGTCATATATGTGCACTTAAAGGAGAAATACATCAAGAGCAAATTACCACAGGCAGATAAAAGGGAAGCCTCTATTGATCAGCTCTTAGGGCATGACTGTGATCAAGTAACCGAAACAGTAGCAATGATACTGCATGAACTTCATGCCAAGGACAAGAATCATGGAATGGTTTGGGTCTGAAGGGGCATTAAAGACCTTCTCATTCCAACCACACTGCCACGGGCTGGGGGCCACCATCCACTAGACCAGGTTGCTCAGAGCCCCATCTAACCTGGCCTTGAACACTTCCAGGGGTGGGACATCCACAACTTCTCTGGGAAACCTGTGCCAGTGCCTGATCCTCACAGTACAGAATTTCTTCCTAACATCTAGTCTAAACCCCTCCCTTTATTTAGTTTAAAACCATTCCCCCAGCCCTGTCACTATCTGACCATGCACAAAGTCACTCATACAGGTGGCTCTAGGACAAGAACTATTTATAGCTTGGCCATTTTGAACAATTAATGCCGAAATCCTAGGTTCTAACTCATTTTTAATACCAATTTGGTTGG